AATGTGCTAATTCTTACATATTTTGATCAGATGAATTAGAAAACAGGTGATAAAGGTGCTAGTTGGCTAGTTTTCAAGATATTTCACAACAAAGATTTATACACAGGCAAGTATATTTGCCTACAAGGGAGGGAGGTGTCTGATGAACATGATGCCTCGAAACTTCTCAACAAAGTTCAGTAGAACAACGGAAATGGTACCATGTGGAAGTGTAGCACGTGGAAGATTATTACCTAACTGTAATTTATTGTTCTTCTATTGCAAGGTACATTTGTCTTGATCAGGTCTACGTATGCATCATTCAGTTATATCTGGTGGCTTGTGAAAGTGTCATTGCCTAACATTTCCAAGGAACAATTGTGTGATATTTTCCCTCAGAAGCCAAGATCCCTTGAAACTGTGTAAATAACGCAGATAACTTCTGCTACATTTGTGGCAAGGTTATATTTGCATCTCAAAAGTGCAGAATGACGGCAGTAGTAAAAAAGGCATACCACCTATCTTTTGGATGCAAAACAGGGGATCAGGACAAGAGCTGAGCCCCTCATTATTGTTGCATTACAGTACATGTCACTGAAAATTCACTTCTTATACTCGCATTTAGACTATTTCCCTTTAAACTGTGGAGCAGTGAATGATGAGCTTGGGGAGAGATTCCACCAGGATATCGCAGGCATGGAGAAAAGATACCAAGGGAAATGGAGTCCGTCCATGCTTGCCGATTACTGCTGGAATCTCTCCAGGGATGATCCTACTGCAGTTCACAAGAGAAAAGCCAAAAAGCGCAGTTTAGATACCGAATAAAGATGGAACCTTGTTAGATGTTAGAACTTGTCAGTTTTTCTTGAAAAAAGCCTGAAAATGTTACATGAAAAACCAATAAATGAATAGAAAGTTATGTTATTGGTATGTTATTTATCTTTTATTTATAAAAGATAAATTTATAATGATTGGTGTGACACCATTCTCATTGCTACATCACATTTTGCAGAAAAGTTATGGAGCATAATCACACATCCCCCTCATAATTTTGAATTATTTTGATGCAATTTTGACTTGAAGCTGTATCTTGAAAACTGGAGTCAATTAATACTCAGGCCTTGATTTTCATTTATCAGTGACCCAATTCTGGTAAAATTTAGCTACTTTCATTTCCAAGGCTTTCTCCTTGTAGACCAGTGTTCTTCTTCCCATCCTGCAATGATGCTCAAAGCCCTGCTCAGCAAGTGTGCTAACTCTGGTGGGAAGCAGCTCCAGTGGATGGCCACTCACTTTATGGATACCTGTACATGGTAGATACCTGCATTCACTGCCAGGCCTGCACCAAGAAGACCAGGGAATACAAAGCTGATCATCTCCAGGCTGAGCTGTGGTCCTCCATGGAATCACAGCATGGAGTCACTTTCACAGCTGCCCTGCCATTTCAGGGGCTCTGGTCCATCTGACTCAACTGCAGCCGCAAGGTCCACTGTGGATGTCTCAGCTATCCCAGACCACTTTGTGAAAATTGCTAAGCTGTGAAAGCTGGCCAAGAATATAAGAGCAGTGAAGATGGCAGACCCAAGTAAGGCTATAGGCTAGTGATGGCAAACCTATAGCATGCGTACCTAAAGGGGCATGCAGAACCCTCTCTGTCTGCACTCAGTAGCCCCAGCCGCAATGTGCATATTCGGAAAGATTAAGGGCACCAGGCAATGAAGTCACTCATTAGCCTTGACTCGTGGAGCTTTCACATGGCTGGTTAGTGAGCTGCCAGAGATTTTCTTGGACTGTGTTTTTAGCAGAAGGTAGGAAAGGTAGGAAATACACTCAGATGCCTTTTTCAGGGCCGACCAAAAGCTGGTGGTCCGTGGAACGTTGCCCCATTGTGCTGGTGGTCAGCAAATTCAGGTTTTATTGCCGTGTTGGCACTTTGCGATAAATAAGTGGGTTCTGAGTTGCAGTTTGGGAACTTGGTCTCTAAAAGGTTCACCATCACTGCTATAGGCAATAAAAAGCATGCCGAACTTAGGCACACCAAGGTCCCCATCAATACTGAGGCTTCTGCAACCTGACACCTCAGTACCAACACACAAGGCCCCCATGGCAACCTCTACCTCACAAGGCATCTCTAGAACCTGGCACCACCAGTTGAGCATGCACCATTGCTGCTCTCAGAACTGAGACACGATACCACAATTGCCAATCCCTCAAAAGCCGCCTCGCAAAGAACTGAGCTGCTGCAGATACCACTCAGTCTTCCTTGTCTCAGACTGTGATTGTGGATTGGTCTGGTTGTCACCCCCACGACAGCAGAGTATATGACCTGTCAGAATACTCTCAGGACTGAGATGTACCCTATAGCTCCCAGCACCACAGGGAAGCTCACCTGGACCCACTCTACTGCGGCCAGAAGCATTTGCATAAGAAAGCATCCATGATATTCTCCTGGAGGAACCACTGTGCCATCACCAGTACTGTATGCCTCGTGCATGCCAGCCACAGACATTAGGGCTCTGCAGTCATTATCACCAGCCCCATGCCTGTCAACAACAAGGCCTCAGTCCCCCTCCTGGGACTCTGACAATTAGAGATCCAGTCAGGAATCCCTGGAACCATCCAAACCCTCCCTGGATGCAGCAGTCGTACTGCTCTGACAGTCAGGAAATTCTTCCTGGGGTCTAGTCTAAATCAGGTCTCTTTTAACTTAAGTCTGCTATTCCATGTTCTATGAATGAGAAGAGAACTTGTCCTTCCTCTTTGTGACAGCCTTTCAGGTACTTATGGAGTGATATCATATCACCCTCAGGGCCCTCAGTATTCACTTCTTGAACATGCCTAATTCTCTCCATCTTTCCTCATGGGGCTTTGTCTCCATTCCTGGAATCATCCTTGTTGCCCTCCTCTTTGCCCTCCTTCTAGCTTTTCTGCATCTTTGTAAGGTCATTTGTTGAGTGGTCATCTGTGCAAACCCACCCACCCACCCACCCTCTTTGGTGTCACCCTTTGTTGGCACTACTGTTCATATTGATATCCATGTGGGCTCAATGACCCCTATGCTCCAGCATAGGGCCATGATGTTGATCTCAGGTCCTTTAAACTGAGGATTGGGTGGGAACGCCTCATTTACGCTGCAGTGAGGCCAGGGGAGGGGTTCCCGCCAAATAAATCTTAGCTATGGAATCTTTCCAATATAAGCTCCACGCATGTGCAGAGCCCATATGTGCACAGGTGACTGCTAGAATAACAGTTACTGGTAACTTTCTCCATAGCCTCTGTGTATCACACATATGGGCTGTGCTCCTGTGTAGAACTTGTTTCTATAGCTGAAAGAATTTTGATGGGAACCCCTCCCTTACCTTGGCACTGGTATATCAGAAGAGTATCCTCCCATTCCCTCAGTTCTTTGTGTGTTTCAGGAAGTTCATCTCAGTGTGTCAACTAGCTGTTTTTTTGTAATTCTCTCTTGTGCTTTTTTTGGGGGGAGGGGGGCATATTTTGGTGACTTTTTCCACTTTACACATCTTTACTCTCCTTTTTGCCTTTGCTCCACTGACCTTTTTTAACTCTTAAAAAACAAAACATTCCTTCAGTTCTTTTTTGTCTTTTTCCTCCTTTTTTCTGTGCCATGGCACAGAGCCATAATCCCCCAGCACCACCTTCTGAAGTTGGTCAACCAAGTAGGAGTGGAACCACCACAAAGCAGTGCCTCCAATCCCTAGTGCAGCCAGACTATCCAGAAGGATACCATGGTCGATGGTACTGAAAGCCACTGAACAGCCCAGGGATGCACTCACCCTGTCCCACTCCCTGCATAGGTCATCATACAGGTCAGCCAAGGCAGTTTCAGTCCCATAACCAGGCATGGAGCTAGACTGGAATGGGTTCAGATGGTGGGTTTCCTTCAAGAGAGTCTGGAGTTGCCTGGCCACCACCTGCTCAAGCACCTTGCTCAAAAACAGGATGTTAGCCACCCATCTATAATTGGTGGCTCTGGGTCCAGGTTTGCCTTCTTGATGGGACTGATCACTACTTCCTTCAAGGGGGCTGGAGCCTGACCCCCACTCAGGCATTAACAGCTTCCTGGACCCAGGTACACATCCTATCCTTGGTTCTGGTGAGCAGGATCAAGTAAACAGGTGGTGGGTTGGACTTGTCCAAGCACCTTGTCCATGTCCTCAGGCTGGAACAATTGAGCTGGACCAGACAGCACTCTGGATGCCTCCCATTCCAGGACCACATCAACTGTTGAGTCCAATTTGTGGTGAATCTGGGCAATTTTATCCTTAAAGTGCTGGACAGGGGGGTCACAGTGAGCTGCTGATGGTGCAATGGGATCTAACCTAGATCCCAGAGTGTAATAGACCATGCACCACCTGAAAACACTCAGCTAGATGGCACTGTGAGGATGCAATTTTGGTGGAGGAGAGGTCCTTCTTCGCTGCCCTCACTGCCACAACATAGGCTCAGTAATAAGCTCTAAGGAATGTTTGGTCAGATTTGGCACGAGTTTTCCTTCACCTACATTCTAGTCACAATTCAGGCATATACCAAGCTGTGCATGCTTTGGCTCCAAATATGTGCAAATCTTTAGAAAGGTTTCATAATCTACCCTTAGCCATCATGTCAGAAATGTGTCAAAAGTCCATCATGTTCAAATGGAATGAGCTTTCCTGTAACACAAATCCTTAGGCTAATCAGTTAACCAAGATGCAAAAATATTATGGTCAGTCTTGGTTAATAGAATTGTCAAAGAATACATATAAATGATAAGCTCATAAACAATCGATCATTTTGCAAATGATATGCTTATGTCCTTATGCACTTTCAGAGTTGGAATTGAAAAACTTAAAGAACTGCTGAGTTTCAAATTGCTGCAGGATTATAAATTAATTATGTAAAGTTTCAGTTACTTTGTATCAATTGAAAACAGAAAACACTGAAGAAGAGATCAACTTAATTTGCAAATTAAATTATAACTATTCCCCAGTTTAAATGTTTTTATGTTTCTTTTTCTCTAGTTGTGTGGCTGTGGGCTCTTAGGTGTGGGAATATGGCTATCAGTGTCGCAAGGAAACTTTGCCACATTTTCTCCCAGCTTCCCATCACTGTCAGCTGCCAACCTGGTCATTGCCATTGGTACCATCATCATGGTGACGGGCTTCCTAGGCTGCTTGGGTGCTATCAAGGAAAATAAGTGCCTCCTTCTAAGTGTAAGTAGAAAGGAAAGACTTCTTTGTCTCTATTGATTTATTTTGTTTGAGTTTATTTTTCCTTTAATAAAGCATGCTACAAACAAGAAAACAGAAATTGTCTCTGCCCCCTGCCTCATTAGAAAGCACTCTATCTAGCCATGTCAGCAGCAAAAGCAAGTTGCTATTTTCTGATTATAGCTAAAATAATACAGGTTTCTTCTTCCTTTTTATATCCCATTCACAATAATCATTGCAGTGTGTGTGTGTGTTGGAATTAGAATTTATTTTCTGGAGAATATCCTTCTTTTACAATGTTCACTTCCATGGAAGCTGTAGTTGCTCTACCTTATGCTTATTCTAGAATGGGATATCTTAATTGATACTCTATCTTCTTCCACCTTAAAAATGCAAGGAATGCTTTAAAAATTAGGAGTTTGAAGTAATTTTCATCAAGAGATGGATTCCCCTCCCTTTCCTTGCCATTACCCAAACTGGGAAAAAAACCCCCCCCCCCCCCAGTGCAGCTAGTGTTTACCAAGCTTTAAAGAGATCTAATCTAATCTAATCTAATCTAAGGTCCCCCATTTTGTCTATATTTTATTTCTCCTGGAATCCCAGGAAACTGAGTTCTGGGCCATGAAAAAATGCTAACTCTGTTACACATCAACAGCATGCAACATAACACATATAACAACTTAAGAGATTCAACTTGGCAAGTTAGGTAAGACATTTAACCTTCTCTAATTATAATATTCCTTTTTGTTCCTTTTATCTTTCAGTTTTTCATTGTTTTGCTGATCATTCTCCTGGCTGAGCTGATATTACTCATTTTGTTCTTTGTTTATATGGACAAGGTAAGCAACAGCTATTCAGGAGGGTTGGCCCTCTCAGAAGCTAAGCTTCATTTTATATTTCATTATATACTGAGAGCTCCCTCATGGATCACTGCCTTGCCGTGGTGAAGAGGCTTGTGTATCTCAATGAAGCTATGCGCTATGAAGTGCAGGGGTACCCAAGACGGACAGCTCATAGCAGAGAGCTCTGACAAAAGGTGATCCACTGGAGAAGGAAATGGCAACCCACTCCAGTACTCTTGCCATGAAAACCCCATGGACTGTTCTAAAGGGCAAAACGATATGATGTCAGAAGATGAGCCCCTCAGGTTGGAAGGTGTCCAGTGTGCTACTGGGGAAGAGCAGAGGGCTAGTACTAGTAGTGCCAGAAAGAATGAAGCAACTGGGTCAAAGCCAAAAGGACACTCAGTTGCGGATGTATCCAGTGGTGAAAGGAAAGTCCAATGCTGTAAAGATCTATTCTCCATAGAAACTGGAATGCAAGATCTATGAATCAAGGCAATTGTGTGGATCACAACAAATTGTGGCAAGTTCTTAGAGAGATGGGAGTACCAGACCATCTTATTTGTCTCTTGAAAAACCTGTATGTGGGTCAAGAAGCAACAGTGAGAACTGGACATGGAACCACTGATTGGCTCAAAATTGAGAAAGGAGTTCGGCAAGGCTGTATACTGTCGCCCTGCCTATTTAACTTATATGCAGAGCACATCATGCAAAAGGCGGGCCTAGATGAATCACCAGTTGGAATTAAGATTGCAGGGAGAAATATCAACAACCTCAGATATGCAGATGATACCACTCTGATGGCAGAAAGTGAAGAGGAACTAAAGAGCCTCTTGATGCGGGTGAAGGAGGAGAGTGGAAAAGTTGGCTTGAAACTCAACATTAAGAAAACTAAGATCATGGCATCTGGTCCTCTCACTTCCTGGCAAATAGATGGGGAAGAAATGGAGGTAGTGACAGATTTTATTTTCCTGGACTCCAAGATCCCTGCAGATGGGGTCTGCAGCAAAGAAATTAAAAGACACTTGCTTCTGGGGAGGAAAGCTATGGCAAATCTAGACAGCATACTAAAAAGCAGAGACATCACCCTGCCAACAAGAGTGCATATAGTCAAGGCTATGGTTTTCCCAGTTGCAATGTATGGCTGTGAAAGTTGGACCATAAGGAAGGCTGAGCACCGAAGAACTGAGGCCTTTGAATTGTGGTGCTGGAAAAGACTCCTGCGAGTCCATTGGACTGCAAGGCGATCAAAGCAGTCATTCCTAAAGGAGATCATCCCTGACTGCTCTTTAGAAGGCCAGCCAGATGCTGAAGATGAAACTCAAATACTTTGGCCACCTAATGAGAAGGAAGGACTTCCTGGAGAAGAGCCTAATACTGGGAACAATTGAGGGCAAAAGAAGAAGGGAACAGCAGAGAATGAGGTGGCTAGATGGAGTCATGGAAGCAGTCGGCGTGAGCTTAAGTGGACTCCGGGGGATGGTGGAGGACAGGAAGGCCTGGAGGAATGTTGTCGATGGGGTCACAATGGGTCGGACATGACTTCGCGACTTACAACAACAGTGGAGCTCTATTAGAACAATTGTGGGTTTTTTAAATGGTAATAATTTCTAAGTTGTCCTAGCTACCATATGCCAAGAAAACAATCTCAATTCTATGACTGGATGCATGTTGAAATCATATTTTATCCTACACAATTCTGTTTATCCTCTTAACAACTTTATGAGTTAGATTAAGTTTGAGAGATAATGGGTGGGCTTGCATTATATGCTAAGCCATCCGGGCTTGTAAGCTATTCAATATAGGTTGCTGGCAGGTTTGCTGACAGTTGGATATTTCACTGGTGTAGTCTGCCTCTCCCTCTCTTTCTTTCTTCCCGAATCCTCCAGTCAGCAGGAGCATTTATCCCATGGGTTCTTTTGTCAGAGTTGGTATACCACAATACTTTGCTACTGCATCATTAACCTGCCAGGGTGGTTTATGAGCTGCAAAATACCACCTCAGGGGAAGTGCTCTGGGTTCACATGATATGACAACCCATAGCGGCTTGAAATATGATGGGTTAGCATATAATTCAGACCCAGGGACTGACTTCCCAGAGAGTGAGTTCCTTATAAGGCACCCTGACAACCCATATCTTGTAGAGGTTTGTTGAACCAATGATGGGGTAGTGTGTTGTTCAAATACAGACACTGATTTCATTATGTGTTATGGCATCAGTTAGGTGAGTTGCAGTACATCAGCAAAGCACTCATTTCTACTCCTTATGGGCAAACTTGTTCCCCAAACTTTGCCCGGCAACAGATTACTCTGTGGCTATCAGCAGCCTCCCTTCCTCCTAAACTCCTTCTAGCATCAGAGTGCATAATAACTGCTGATAGCTCCCCTCAGCAATAATGTCTCTTGTTGCCCACATTACTTTCCTTCTTTGGTCATGAAGACTTTTCTCTGGCTTTTGAGTGTAGCTATGTATTATCCCCACACCAGCCTGGAATGAGCTTGTTACATTCCCAGCCTTATCTGAGGCTTTCAGTTTCCATTTTGCTGCATAACAATTCAACCAGGAAATAAGTTTTTTAACGTGGACAAACCCAATTTTCTGGTAAACTTTGTTAGGTGATTGAAGAACTGAACCAAAGTTTCCAGTAATCCCATCCCATTTTTTGTCTATAACATTACACATACTCACTGAAAAAGGACCAAATATTATTTTGAAATACTGAATAGGACCTCCATGTATCTAGTGTTAAAATGGTCTAACACAAATTGTATGATATACTGTATAAAATTCTATAATTGTATCCCATTATGGCACAGGGGACTGAAGGTCTCCTTTCTATTCAGTCTAGGCTTTACATAAACTGGAAAATATTACTTAAAATTTACTTTAATCCAGAATTACCAGTCTTTGACAATTGTTCTTGGCTTGCAAAAGTATGATGAAATTTAAATACCAGCAGGAGAAGTTCTGCTCTATTAGTTCTTTCACACATATACACAGTCTAACAAGATCGTATCAAAGGGTTTCACCAATGAATAGTGATATTTGTAACATTATGACCTTGTTGATACTTGCTTATATGAAACAGGTTAATGAAAATGCAAAGCAGGATTTGAAAGAAGGTCTCAAGCTTTACAACACTGACAATAATGTTGGGCTGAAGAATGCCTGGAATATCATTCAAGCAGAGGTAAAGACTTATTTTCATCATACACAAATTCCTTCTGCACTGTTAATAATTGCCAGGACCTATCAGTATGTTGTATGAAATTGCTTTATGCTCTCCACAAGCAATATTAATATATAACTGACAATAAATGGTGTGAAGTGAAATTGGTGGCCAATGAGAGATTGGATCCACATATATACTGTATATACATCTTAGTATCTTCATTAACACAGCTATTTAATTAACATTCAACTGCCTAATAATGTGGAAATCTTAAGCTCTGTATCAAGGGGAGTGCCACATTACTGTCCTAGGTCATATTTTTTTTTATAAATGAAGGTGAAGCAATTACATTGCTAATCAAATTGACAGATAACACAAAGCTAGAAGAGGTAATAAACATCATAGAAGACAGGAGCAAGATTCAGAAGGATCTTGGGAACTACAGATCACTTAGTCTGACATCAATTCCTGGAAAAATTCTGGAGCATAAAGGAGTCAATCCGAAAGCATCTTGAAAAAAATGCAGTAATTCCTGGAAGCCACCATGGATTTATCAAGAATAAGTCTTGCCAGACTAATCTGATTTTGTTCTTGATTGGGTAACTTGTGAACTGTGGGAATGCTGTGGACATAATATATCTTGATTTTAGCAAAGCTGTTGACAATGTGCCGCATAATACCCAGATTAGCAAACAAGTAAAAAGTGGACTAATTGGAACAATGAAAAGGTGGATACACAGTTGGACTGAAAGAGTGCTCATCAATGGCACCTTCTCAAACTGGGCAGAGGGATCAAGTGGGGTCCCGTAGGGTTCAATCCTGGACTCATAGAATCATAGAATAGTAGAGTTGGCAGGGGCCATGAAGGCCATCAGGTCCAACCCCCTGCTGTTGCAGGACACCAGCTTACACCATCCCACTCAGCAGGCTGACCAGTTTCTTTATGAATGTCTCTAGTGTGGGAGAGCCCTCCACCTCCCTAGGAAGCTGGTTCCAGTGTCCTATTGCTCTGAGAGTAAGGAAGTTTTTCCTGATGTCCACCATGAAACTGGCTTGTCACAACTTGAACAGATTATTCCAAGTCCTACACTCAGGCATCAGCTAGAAGAGATTTTGACCCTCACTGTAACAGCCTTTGAGGAACTTACAGAATACTGACTGACTTTGTGCTTAGTGCAATTTTCTCTCCCCACCCCTTTACACATCTTGCAAAATTTAAAACATTTTAGTAGCTAGTGGTAAGAGTACAGATCCACCAAAATATCTTGATATGAAACAGCTCAACTTACTGAGCCTTTTTATTTATTTATTTGGAGAACTTTTTGTTAGGTAATCCTTTATTGCCCTTCAGCCAAGGCCCAGATCATCCAATGATTGGATGACCATCTACGCTCTTCAAAACACAATGCAGTCAGCCACTGCTCAACATCTGAGGCATCCTAATAGCAGAGTTAGAAGGGGCCATGAAGGCCATCAGGTCCAGCCCCCTACTGATGCAGGATACCAACTTAAAACATCCCACTTGGATGGCTGTCTAGTTTCTAGTTTAGAGTCCACCACCTCTCCAGGCAACTGGTTCCACAGTCATATTGCTCTGACGGCAAGGAAGCTTTTCCTGATGTCCAGCCTGAATCTAGGTTGTCACAGCTTGAACTGATTATTCCGTGTCCTGCACTCTGGCATCAGCAAGAAAAGATCTTCCTCTTTGTGACAGCTTTTGTGGTACTTATAGAGGGATATCATGTCCCCCCTCAGTCTTCTCTTCTCAAGGCTGAACCTGCCCAGTTCTCTCAGTCTCTCCTCATGGGACAGTTTTTCCAAACCCTGGATCATTTTTGTTGCCCTCCTCTGGACCCTTTCTCATTTTCCTGCATCTTTCTTAACTCTTGGTGCCCAGAACTGGACACAGTATTCCAGATAAGTTAGGAGTATAGGGGAACTTGTGATTTGGAAATAATAGTTCTGTTAATGCATCCCAAAATAGGATTTCCCTTTATGGCGGTTGCATCACATTGTTTGGTCATGTTTAGCCTATTGTCCACAATTACTCTAAAATCTTTTTCAGTTCTGTTGAGCCACATATTCCTTATCTTGTATCGATGCATTTGGCTTCTTTTTCCTAGTTGGAGAACTTGGCACTTGTCCTTATTGACTCTCCTTCTGTTGCTTTCAGCCCAGTGTTCAAGTTTATCAAGATTGCTCTGGATATTCATACTGTCTCCTACAATGTTTGCTATTCCACCCAGTTTTGTATCATCTGCAAATTTGATTATCTTTCCTTGTATGTCCTCATCTAAATCATTAATAAAGATGTTGAAGAACACTGACCCCACAAGTTACCTCCATCCAATGTGAGAAGGTGCCAGTGATGAGCACTCTTTGTGTCCAATTTAGCAGCCAATTTTGGACCCACCTAATAGTTTTTTCCATCTAGTCTAGTTTTTGCTAATTTCCTTATCAGAATGCCTCATGGCACTATGTCGAAAACTTTGCTAAAGTCTGCATAGATTATGTCCACAGTGTTCCCTG